TGGCAATTATTTGGTCTTACTAAAATTATGTTGGTTTTGTTTGATTTGCAGCAGTTTTCTTCCTATGTGCACATTAAATGGATGTTCCATAGGCTATCTCACTAGGCTTGAATTTTTTTAACGTGAGCAGTTACAGCCAGGAAATAGCTGAAGGGTTTTTTCCTCCTCTTTTCCTCATTAGGAGCTTGCAAAAGCAGTCACCTTAAACTCTTGGTGTGTATAAACAAGGCAGAAAGATGCAGCTGAGGAGATAATATAGTGCAATTAAATGGTGAGGGCCATAATAGAGTAAGGATTGAGTTTATTGCCCCTGTTTGTTTCACAAAATTGGAAATGTAGGGCTTTTGTACATTAGTCAAGTAGCATTTTGCGTGGGCATAGATGGTGGTTTGCTCTCTGGAGCTGGAATATGCATAGATACTTAAATAATGCTTTATTTATGGATTATACTTTTGTGCAGAAAACAAAAAAATTAAACTTTATGTTGTGGTATATTCATAGTATTCTAAAGTAAAAAGGCTTGATTGAGTTTGTCTTTGTGTCCTTGCTTATGGTGCTGGTATGACTTTCCATTCAATTTAATCCCTTTCCCTTCTTCCCTTTAAAAGTCTGTGCTGGTGAGACTTTGGTGCCACAAATTCATTTGTCTGTGGAGTAACTCTACACGTGTTAGTGCAGTCAGGAGTGTAATTGTACCATTTCTTGTACCTATATTGTTCAGAAAATAGTAATGCAGGCACCTCACAATAACAAAAACGTACCACCTACATCAGAAAAAAACACTTATTCTAGTAAGTAATCAGGGTTTAAATGGTGGCTCACACTTCTGTTATATAGCTAACATATTTTCTGACCCTTCAAACAAAAAAAGCTCAGCTACATGACAGACCATAATCCAGGCTAGTGTATCTATTCTTTAGATAATTTTAATTAATTAAAGGAAAGGAATTTGTTTATCATGTTTATCATGTATTTGCTCCTGTGGCATTTTTTTTCTGCTGGAGTGTTGTTCTCATAGAAAAAGGCTGGGTTTCTTTGGTTTGGTAGGTTGGGTTTTTTTTTTTTTTTTTTTTTTGGGGGGGGGGGGGTTGTTTGTTTGTTGGGTTTTTTGGGGTTTTTTTGTTTGTTTGTTTTTTGGTGTTTTTTTTTAAACTCAGTAGACACTTTAAAATCTTATCTATGGAATGCATTAGATTTAAATTGGACATTATTGATTGTGTGGTCAATACAGTGAATAAAAGATGACAAAGCTTTATAGATAAAGCAAACTGCATGGATGCCTGGTGCATTGACAGAGCTGGAAGTTATATACTATCTGGAACAGTGGGGTACTATCTCTGGTTATCACAAGAGCCCCAGTGTCCCAGAGTGCCTGAGTGTGTCAGTGGAACTTCAGTCTCCGGGTGTTTGGCTGTGTGCCATGTTGTTTGATGGTCCATTGGCATTGATAACATCACTTCAGATTTTTATTTGTGCTGTGACCCCAATGCTTTGAGGAACTTAAATTTTATTACCTTTAACCTACTTGAATACTGGTGAAATAAAATGCACGCCTAAGAAAAACTGAGGTTTGTATAATATTGTCCATGGTCTCTTTTAACAAATGGATGAACATGAGGTTTCTGGGAAGGGAAGATAAAGCAAAGCAGCCCAGCAGAGCACAGAGCTGTCCATGCACTTCTGGCAGTTTAACTCTTCAGGAATCCTAGGATCCTTTGTTTAGCCACAGTCAGTGTTTTATCCTGAATTTGCAAGGCAACCAGGTGCTGGTATTGTAAATCAATTATCATTTGACATGATGTAAGGCCTATTCTTATTTACAGAAAATGTCATTTGATGTTGTTCCCTTTTTTTGTTGTGTTGCAGATGTGGTGGCAGCTCTTTCCGATCCCACACAGATGTTGTCATTGTCTATTGTGCCCAGAGTGCTGCTGGGGGTAGTTTTGCTGGGCAGAAAAAGGAACAGCCTGTCTGTGTTCTCCTGCATGAAGTACAGCTTTGAGACAAAGCACTGCTCCTGCTTGCCTTTTTTTTTTTTTGGCAGGATGTGGCACAGGTTTTTCAGTAACAGAATTTTGCTTCAGGGTTTGTGGGATCTTCAGTCTTGAGACCCCAATGATTTTCCCAGCAGTGCCATTGCATTCCTTCCAGTAATAAAACTGAAATGGCATAAACAGTGTATTTACTCCATTTTATATAATAAAAGAAATGCCTTGAAGCAAAATGTCATTTTCAGCAATCAAGGATGTAGATTTTCCTTCTTAGTAGTGCTGACAGTCGTTCATGATTTTTCTAAATTGCTTATGAGTGGTTCATACAGGAACTTACCTGGATTGGGAGAAAATGTTTAATATGAATGTATGCTAGTGAGCTGTTATTAATTGATTATTTTCTACTAGATATGCCAGTATATAGAGTGAAGCTTGTATATGACTTGAGTATGCATGTATGTATATCTGATTTACACAGAAGCTGGAAGGTTTTAGGAATAAATCAAAGTTATAGACTATTGTTAATTTAAAGAAAAAATTGGGCACTGTCTAGAGGAAAATCAGGTTTTGCAAACCTAGCCCTTTGGCACACATGAGGATAGTTGCTTATCAATATCCTATATTTCCATAGGTTTTATCCATTTATCCATAGGTGTTATCCATGTAGTCTTTTAGACTTTGGAAGTAGCATAGTTCTGATCCAGAAATTGAGTGTGCAGGGTTGTTTTCTTTGGTTTGATTTATTTTATTTGTATATTGCTGTCATACCAGATTTTGTGGTTCCGTAAGTTTTTGTTCTCTCAGCTGTTTTGATTCCTAGTGGATTTGCTTCTGTTTTAATGCATAATCCAAGGAATTAAAACTGGCAATTACTCTTTGTACTGGGATATATTCTATATATGTGTACATGTGTTGTCTGATTGTTAGTTCCAGTTTTGATCATGGGTTTTTGGATGAGCCATTCCTTCTCTGTTACATGGGTATAGCCATCACCCAGAATGAACAGGCAGAGTAGTTGTTAAATACTGTTACTATCAGTGTTGATATGCAAACATGAGAGAATCCAGATTTGTTTTCAGGGCACATGTTAATTTGGCAGAGTAGTAATCAAAAGGGGATATAAAGAGAACATTTAAAATGTTGCTGAGATGCTGAAGGTGTGTCATCTATGTTGTGGGGAAATTGTGCTTATTTTCATAATTTCTCTTTCTAGGAAAAAAAATCCTGTGTGAAAATACCATACTTTTCTTTAGATATTGTTTTAAATGTAATTGTATTTTCATTAAATAACAGTCAGTAGTTGTGCTTTTCATAGCTGTAGGTTTCTGTTCTACTAGATGTGATGAAGTTTGAGGCGTAAAATTCTCTTGTCAAAAGAAAGACCTGTGAGCACTTTTTGATCTCTTTTTATCTCCTGCTTTTGTAATTTCAGTGTTACAGACCCTTCTTTATGCAGATTGTGAATGAGAGATTACTATAATGACACATGCTAGAAAATAAATTCAGCAGAAAGTCCTTGTGATGTGTTAAAGAATGGAAATGGCTGGTGGAAGGTCTTGTTTCAGCCTTCCTGCTGATACTTCTATCTGGAAGCAATCTAATTAAAAACTACCTACCTAAAATCTCTGTCTATGGAAATTTACTTGGCTAAAGATCCAAGTTCTTCTGTTCTTACCCTTTAAATTGTCCCCTCGGGCCAGCCAAACTTACTTGTTTGAAAAATAAAAATAACTCAAAAATAGAATTGCATTGGGATTTTTCATCCCTGATCAAAACTGTTGAGTAAGATCAGGAGTAAGGTTTTGGAGTTTCTGGTGAGTGGGCTGTTATTTTAATCAAGGAGCAAAGTGCATTGTGTCAGATAAGAAACTTTTACATGTACTGGTTAGAGATGGCTTGTTACTCACTACAGAGACACTGCAGGGAGATAGAAATTCAACTTTCAGGGTAATGCCCCTTCTTTGGAATGATCTGCTCTGTTCTGCCAGCTTCAGCTGTCTTTTGTGTCTAGCAGAAGTAGCACTGTCAGCATTTTTAATGGAGGATTTCCTGTTCTCGTCTGCCTAGATTAGAGCTGTGGAAGTGTACTTCATGTCATTCACTTGTAAGAAGGTTTTATTATTGTTTAAATGTGGGTGTATGTGTTTAGTAATAAAAGCTTCAGTACACTCATTTATTCCAGTAGTACTTTTCTATTTTGTACATAGAAGAGAATATATATATGTGTGTGTGTAAAAGTAAATATGTGTAAATATACAGAAGAATAAATGTATTTGGCTTCAAGAGCCAGATATTTTTAGGGAAGGAAACTTTCTCTTTAAGATATATTTTATCTTTTTGAGAAAGATACACATCGAGTGGTGGTTTTACTGTTTTCAAGTGCTATATGTATCCCTGCTAGGTGTCAAATTTTATTTCCCATAAAATATGTGAGGGTGAGACTGTATTTCAGTATGGTTACAGATCTGAGAATGCTAGGCCATGCCAGGTGTGTTGACAGGAACAGGCTGCTGTCCGTAGCCTTGTCCACTTCGTGTTTGTGGGTCCTGCACTAAAGTGCAGATTTTGGGGTCTGCTTTGCATTTGCAGGTTGATTAAGGAATGAATCTGGGTAAAAGCATGTACCTGGGCAGTCATTGCAGGGCCCTGAGACACGAGGAGCTGTGTGTCAAGCACCTCGTGAGAAGGCATTTGGCTTGATAGTGTTAATTGGAATAACTGATCCTTGTGAGTCTTGCCCATATGGGGCATGTGTGCAGTATGTGGCTTTGGATATAATTAATGTACTCTTTTATTTGCTCCTGAAGCATAAGATGGTCTTAATGGGAGTTCTTCAATGTGTATCTTGTATTTTAAAAGAAATAGAAATACAAGAATTTGAGTTTGTCTTGGCAAGCTCTAGTTCACCTGTCAAGGATCATTTGTTCCATGTATGAAACCTTTGCTGCTCTCTTGATCTTTGTGTGTGTTGATATGCAGAGCTCAAGTTTCTTTCTCCTCCTTTTCCAGGTGAAGCAGGAGCCACAGAAAGAAGACCTTGTGGTTTGCAATCATGCCATTCCCCTTTGGCAAGTCCCACAAGTCTCCTGCAGACATAGTGAAGAACCTGAAGGAGAGCATGGCAGTTCTAGAAAAACAAGACATCTCTGACAAAAAGGCAGAAAAGGTACAGTTGTGATGTTCCAGTTGCTAAACTGTATTTGAAAGTGGGGGAAAGGGGGAATTTACAGCTGTTGAAACTGAAACAATTAGAAATTATTTTGGTGGTTTATACTCTGATAAAGGGCAATTTATGTACCTTTGAACAGGTGTGTGTCCTGTTGGATGGTTGGCTTATGCCACTGGCAGCTGATAATGATATTTAAAACGATTTGGCACTGTAAGACATTGCATTCTTTTAATAAATAGCTCACAGCTGTACAGTGTTCTGGTCTTGTGACCACCACAGTGCCTTCACTGCTGCACAAGTAGTTCTGTCTCTGCTTGTCCATGCAAATCTTTACAGAGCAGAGTGTCTCTCTTCCTGAAGCTGAAGAACTTTGTCTTTGCTTTGAATAGAGAATATATTTTGGCTTTCCTGTCTCTTCTTCAATCTGCACTAAGATGTGAGAAGTCGCTGTGCTAGTGCAGTTTCCTTTACATGGATGTCTTGTACTTCAGGCTGTGTACCTGTTCCTAGTCATTTACTTCTCAACTGGCACTCTGCATTTTACAGCTTTACAGGAACTGACCTCAGAGTTCACCCTGTGTGCAGCTGCATCCCACCTAGTGAATTATGTGGCAGAGGTTTAGATGAGCACCCTCCTTGGAGCCTCTCCTAACATTATTTAACTATTATGTGCCATTCTTGGCATCCACTGAGTCCCATATAGGAGTTAGTCACAATCTTTTCATGTTCACCTATATTTTTAAGCAGAGTGTAGCCAGCTCTTCTACACTCAGTTTCACTTAGATTTGGCACTACTACTGTTGTGATAAGGCACGAAATGATGACACAGACACTGCTGCTCTCGAGGGGAACAAAAAAGAAGAACCTTTATTTTCTGACTCCAACATTTGTAGTTTTCCAAAGGAGACAGTGGATTGGAGGGTGACAGTGCCACCTCTCCAATGCCACTGGACAGACCAAGGGTCCATCAATTCTCTCCACCTCCATGAAAGAATGCAAAACATAGGGTATTTACAGAACTGGGAGAAAGGTAGTTGAAAGAATGTAAACATCAGAAGGCTTAACAAAGTCTTACAAAATCAGGGTGACAACTACTTCTAAGGGTCTTAATTAAATTGCCATCTTAGTTCTGCTATTCTTCAATAATTGGCATCTTCTACCCCTTTGCCACCATGTGGTATGTTCTAAGTGTCTTGCAGTGTACCACAGTAGTTTCTTCTGATGCTTTTACTCTCCTGTTGTAGAGAAAAATGTTACATTCTGTTCTGCATGCTTGTGTGAAGGCTGGAAGGATTTTCATTTGCTGCTGCTTTTCTTCTGTCTCCAAAACAGCTTTCTGTCAGAAGAGGAGGGATAGGTGTATTCTGAAGAGTCTGATGAGACTTGGCACTGCCTCCTTTATCTTGGCCTCATTATTAGTTCCTGGAGATGTGGCCTGGTCTTAAAATCTGTGTTCTTTTGTGTTCTCTTTTTGCTGGGACCCCTAATGGGGGACAGTCCAGCTCATCCCATGGTGTGTGACTGTGTCCTGTAGCATGTGCCTGTGTTCCTGATGCTGCAGTTGAAGGTTGGTATTACCATTTCTTCTTGCTGGCCTTTGGTCCCACAACTCCACATTTTTAAAAGACCTCATTTCTGTGAGGCTGCTGCTCTGACAAGAAGTAATATGTGGAGTGGTTTTTCCAGGGTCAGACAGAAGGTAACACATGGTTCTTGCAGGAGAACAAAGGCAGCCCATACTCACTGGGTTAAGTGTGAGGAGGGCTAAATCCTGACATCCAGGGGATTGAGCCTGGCTAAGGTACTGCTGTTCCCCATCATCTTTGCTATTCACAGGGGAGCTGATGAATCCCAGCACTCGCACCACCAGTGTCCGTATCTCCATGCAGAGATTCATCAGGAAGTGTTTCTTTCCTTGGCAAGCCAAGCCTTCAGGAAGGTGACTCTGGTTGTGACTCTTTAGCTCAGGTGGTTTGCTGGTTTGATGGAGAAAGTTCTTCAATATCTTATGGACTAGTCATCAGATCTTTGAGAGCACAGCTCTGTGAGCAGGCATCCTGAATTTATGTCCTCTTCCTATCCAGTCTGTAGAAATTACTGGAGTGAATTTGGAGTTAAAAGACAGAGGTCTGAGCAGTAGCCTTTATTAGAAAAGAGCAAACATTTTTTTATGCCCATATCTCAGTATTTAGGCATCTTTTTCTCTTTCATTATCCCTTTTATTATGATGATCCTTTCTGCTATGTAACTTTTAAGCCTCCTTTAGAGAAGAATTCTGTGCTGGTGGCAGGGTGAGTTCTGTGGCTGGTAGTGGAACAGAAATAGAAAAAGTCACTCTACATCAAGGACAAAAATTGCTGCCTGGTATTAAAAGAGGAGAAGGATGCAAAAGTTGTTCTTGTTTGTATGGCTTCACTTTATTAGTGATCGGATGTGTATAAAATACAGTGTGTCTCAGTAATTTTGTCATTGTTGCTGTTTGATCCAGGGGTATGCTTTTGCAGCCTGTCACATATCAATGTGGAATTTCAGTGCTGGGTCAGCATGCTAAATACTCAGTATTGGTTATGAAAGTATCCAGTTGGGTTAAGGAACTACCTGCTTTTCTTACAGGCTTTCATTTCTTATAATTTTGAATTTGCTATCACGTGGAGATGCTCTTTAACAATTTTGTTGTACAATTGGAAATACAGATTTATAAGAAAATTAGACAAATAATTTTCCCTGGAAGTTGTAAGTGTAATTATGCTTGAACAGAATTCCTCATTTTTCTTCAGTGCTTAGGCTGAAATTTAAAACCATTAATGTTTTGTCGGTGGAAACAAAAAATCAAAGGAGGTAATAAAGATGTTTAAATCATGGACAGTGTGTGTTCATGTCCGTTCTTTGTAATCAAAATGGAAGATATTCTTCAAAGTAAAAAATGTAAAACAACAGTAATGTCTTGTTCAATTATGAAACATTTTGCCCTGTAATACTGGAACATTTATTTTATAATCAAAAATCTGAAAATCCAGTGTATCCTAGTTACATGTTAATCTAGCTTTTGAGCTCAGTGAAGACTGGAGAAAAATTAACCAGGTAGTTCTCCAGGTCATTTGAAATGTCCTTTAATCATGTGCTGCTCATTTAGGAGCTGGGCTGGGGGAGCTGGGCTGTGGCTCACCTGTCCCACCTCCCTCTGTACCACAGCTCAGGTGCTTTGTGGGAAGGGAAATGAGATGTCAAGGGCTTTATAACTGAAATGTGTTCATTGTTTATGCTGTTTGTTCTCTATTGCCTGTGCTCTCTCAGAAAGGGAGCCTAAAGGGAAGGGAAAAGAAACCTCCTTTCCCATAAGCAGGACCTACCCTTGATCTATGCTATTAGTTAGTCTTTATTCACATCTCTTCCTCCTCTTTGGCTGATCCCAGCATTTTTCTCATACTACAGTTCACTTGGTGTGTGGCACACATTTACTGTCGTGCAGGTAAATATTTACTCACGCAATCAAGTTGTTCTTCACTACCCTCTGACCTTGGCTTGACCTGGTCCCTTTGGGCTGCTGGGTGGTTGTTAAAGCCCTGCTGTGATCCCAGGCAGGCTGGCCCTTGCAGGCATGGTTGGCCTCTCTCCTTGGTGTCCCAGCTGAGTGATGGCAGCCCCATGAGCTGCTTGGCTCAGCTCTGCCAGGATGATGCTGTGCCATGCTGCCATAGGTCAGATTTCATTCAGGGAGTTAATGCTGTCATTCACAAAGCAGTAAAATCCTGGATTTGTTACGCATGTGTGTACAATTAATCTGTGGTTGAAAGAAGGCTAAAGGTTAAGTAATGTGCCTGGCCTGTAGTGTGGGGCTGTTACTCAAGGGGTAAAGATGAGCCTTTTTTAGGAAGCAGCAGGTGAGACAACATGCTTCTCTTCTAATTGAACTTAGCTCTTCTGTGCTGTCTCCTTGCTAAGTGTTCACTGGAAAATCATACAATAAGTTTTGGCCTTTAGATCTGCTACTGCACTGATGTAGTTAATACTGCATTTATGGAATTGTATGTTTTTGTAAGCATTTTGAAATACAGCCAATTTAAGTAGTTACTAAAGTGATGCTTTTTAGTTGTGATAGATACTGCTTTAGACTACTAAAATTATTCACGCAGTAGAGGTTCAAAGCTATATCTGGTTTATCTTTTTGATGGATGTTTTCATTAATAGTGCAGTCTCTGTAACTGCATTATCCATGTGTAGAGAACCCCCAGGCACTGGGGTTCCATGGGTCTGGAGACTGCCAGGCTCACTGGAAATATTTCAGGACTGGCCATGTGTTCTTTATCTTTTTTCTACTGTTCATAAGCCCCAAATAATCCAGCTGTACAACTCTAGATATAATATTTGGGGTTTGCACTGCTTACCATTTAAGGAAATACTAAATTTTAGGGTATTTCACTGATCTTTCCAGAGACTGCAATAAACCATAGCTATAAACATGTGTAGCTATTCTGGTGTAACAGTCATATGTGTGACTTCATGGTGTCTGCTTTTATTTTTAAATAGTATCTTCCTGTCCCTTCATAAACATAGAGAAGTAAGTACTTTATTTTCCTTGCTTATACATTTAACTTCTATAGTGTGGCTTGTCCTCAGAGGGTATTGATTTTCTGGCACCATTAAATTTCAAATATGACTTACCATGAAATTTTTCTCTAAAATTCAGGTTGCTCCTAATCAGTGTTGAGAGCATATAAATACAGATGTTAATACTTAAAAATTAAAAACCTTAACATATAAAATATATTCTGTTTTATATATGCTTATATAAAATATATACTTATACTCTCTATAAAATATATGGAGAGTATAGATATTCTGTATGTGTAAAATACACCCTGGTCATATATTATACTGGGGTATATTTTATATGTTTGTACATATGTTGTCTGATTGTTTGTTCCACTTTTGATCATGGATTTTTGGATGAACCTCATTGTGTATTTTGATCTTTCTGTCTAGATATTTTTCCCCTCTTAAAAGAGAGCAGTGCATTAGGCAATTTAGATCTCAGTATCTTAGAAAATCTTGCTAGTAATGCTAGCCAAGCTTCTCTTATCTTCCTTGATTTTATTTGTTTTTAGTGGCTTTTTACTTGGCTCTTCACACCAATATTTAACGTAGCATTATATTTTTCAGTGTAAGTATCTAAATTCCATTCTGCATCTGAAATGGCAAAAATAGGTCTGCACATCTTGTATTTGGAATATGTCTGAGAGTTCATGGAATGTACGAGAGTAAGGAGGTTCTAGAAATTTGTCAGAGTTTGTTTCTAGTCCTTTTGATGTCGAATTTTAGAGTAGAAGTATAAGGATATTCTATTTTATCAAGTGTAGTGCATTGATAGACATTGGTTACTGATAAAATACTTCCAGTATCTTACTGCTAAGATACTCCAGAAAACCTCAGTTTCCAGAAGATAGCCAGAAATGAGCCGGAGGCAGGCAGGCGCTTTGGTGCGTGGTGCTCAGACACTGGTACGGTTGCCGGGAGAGGTGGTGGAGTGTCCATCCACGCGGCTGTTGGGAGCATGGCTGGCCACCAGCCCGCTCAGCTTGGCAGCACTGAGGTGGCTCTGCCTCCAGCATCCTCATGGCCTCCTGAGGTATTTCCAGCCTAAGCTCTGCTGCTTCTTGGGAATGTGGTTTAGGGGCAGCCTTGAGCTTAAGGGTCTTTCCCAACCTCAGTGATTCAATGGTTTTGTGCCTCTAAGTGCTGCTTCCCACTAAAGCTTCGGGCCATGCCAAGTTCCAGTGAAGCACATGCAGGTGGTCTTGACAGCTGTGAAGAGCACTGACGTCCTCCTGTCTCTTACTGAAGTTCCCAAACTGTATGTTCATGTTGGGCTAGAAGGCTTTTTGGTTTTTTAAAGCCCTCAGTGTTTGGAAACACTGCATTATTTTCTGCCTGGTTTGCAAGCATTCCCATTGCTGGTGTCTGCCTTGGGCTGGTGGTGAGGAGGAGCTCTCAAGTGTGGTTATTAAAGTTTTGGGGTTGGGAGGCTTGTTCTCTTCCCTGGGGTTTTGCTAGGACAAATTGTCCACTCGCCTTCTTAATTACAGGCATTCCCTCAATACTGCCATCATTTCAGCGGAAATAGGCAGTTACTTGAGCTGCCTTTCTTCCTCTTTCATCTTGCTTTCTACATTAGTATGCAGGGACAGACTTTGCTTCCTCTTCCCTTGGTAGGCATCCATCAAAGATATCTCTTCATATCTCCATGGCTGACAGATGTTCCTGTTCTTCAACAGAGCTGTTTCCTCTGAATTTCAGAGAACAATTGTGTGGTGTAATTCTGCTCCAGCATGGTGAGCTGGTGCTCCCATTTCACCTCTTCAGGAGCTGGTGACAATCGAAGTGGTCTTACTGAGCACCTGCTTCTTGCTGTCTGACCAACAGTGCACAGAAAATCCCTTGGGATTTCGATTGAGGAGGAGACAACTGCGACTAGGAACTGAAGTAACAGGAAGAGGGAGGCAGCAGGGAGTGGAAAGTTGTGGAGGAGCTAAAAATGATACAGAGCCTCCTTAAAGGTCATGGAATTCTTGCTTGCATACCTAGCAAAGCTGGAATGGCTTTAGCTTGAATAGTGCATGGGTCATGCTGATCCCAGGCTTCTCTGGATAAAAAGCACAAATGAGAAATCTTTTTACACACCCTTTATAGGACTGGCAACATCCAGAAAGTGGTAAATTTTTCACTGTATTAATTTGCCGTGAGCTGTCAGTCATGAATATTTTACATTAAAGTGTATGCATACTTTGTTGGCAGGTTCATCTAATTACTAAAAATCAGTGCTCTTACAAACCATTCAGACTTTTTAGGCATGTGAAGAACCATTATAATTAAACCAGCTATTTATGCTGATAATTTTCAGCATTTTGCCCCCAAGTTCAGTAAACATGTATATTGAAAGGAGTAGTTCTTTTTTTGGTCCAATACAACTATGTTTTAAGATTCAGAAGTGGGTGTTTAGAAGTATTCTTGTTGATTTGTATTTTATTTTGTTTTACTCGTGAGATAACTTTGTTTCCACTGCTGAATGCTGTTCCAGCTCATCCTGGCAATTTAGGAATTCCTCACAAGTGACAAGTCAGACCTGTCTGGCTTCTGTAAAGTGGGCTTCAAGCAGGGAAGGATTTTAGACCTTTAATTGTGTCCTTTTGAATGTATCTCTTTCTGGATCTGTTGGCCAGGTTGTTCTTTTGTATGAAGATAACCTGAAAGTTAGAGTTGGTTCTCCTTGTGGTTTTGTTTGTTGGAAAGACTTCACCCACAGTAACTAGAATTTGGCAAAATTTGGAGCCTAGTATTTGGCAAAACCCGATGTGTGCAACATCTACAGGAGGGATGTGTTTGGTGTCTCTGAGCAGTTCCCTAGACACAGGCATGAGGCTCCATGTCATGTTTTCCAGTCTGATCCTACACAATTGTTTTACAGAATGGAAATCTTGTCAGGTTCTTTTCATCCTATTGCTGTTCTTTAGGGGATTTTTGAATGGGAAGGTAAAAGGCAGTAAAAAGGAAGAGATTTTTACCTTTGGTAACTAAATTGTGTATGTCTTGCCTCTGCTTTTTATTGTTTGGGTTTTTGGTTTTTTTTTTTTTTTTCAATACCAGTCTCATAACAGTCTTATTGGCAGAAAGAATATCTATTGTTTTTTTACCAGATTGTCATTTCCTGATTATTCCTCCCCCCAATGGAAGTTTGCAGATGTTAAGAATAAAGGAGTGTGCAGTCAGAAAGACAAATGGCATTTTTGTTCTCTAACTGTATTGTTTTCCCATTTTCTTTAGGCGACGGAGGAGGTCTCAAAAAACCTTGTTGCCATGAAAGAAATCTTGTATGGCACAAATGAAAAGGAGCCCCAAACAGAAGCTGTGGCACAGCTTGCTCAGGAGCTATACAACAGTGGTCTTCTTAGTACCCTAGTAGCTGACTTGCAGCTCATTGATTTTGAGGTAAGAGAGGAGGTTTGACACTTCTTACATTTTTATGTTAAAATGAACACATCTGAATTCCTACCACTGTAATTGATTAAGATGTTTCAGTCTTCAGCTTTTATTTTGTGGTTATGACACATCCATTAGAAAGAGACTGTTCCAAACTGCATAGCAGATTGAGCAATTATGGAAGATGAAATCTGTGAATTTAGACATACAAACAACACAGATTTGAAGCAGATAAACCTTCAATCTGGTGGTACAGTTCTGTTAAAATTGTGGAATAATTCTGAATTGTTGTGTACACAGAAGGGTTAATCTCTTAGCAGTAATCCCATAGTGAACACAAACCTTAATACTGCAAGATGTATCTGTATGTTCATCTTGCTGCATCAAATTACTAGGAAAAGTAACAGAATTGTTGTAACATTTATAAGAAGTTTAAATACATAATTTAAAGCTGTTAGTTTTATTAATAGTCCAGTATTTCTCTCTCTTTTTAGAAACAAGTGATGCAAGCTTTTTGGTTTCCTCGTCTTTTTTTCTGTTTATTAAAAAAACAAACCCAAGTTTTTATTGATCAGTTCAAAATAGCAATACTTACTTATATTTAAAGGTATCTCTCCACAAGCCTCTGTGGCATTTGTCACCACATCACATGGAATAATTTAGCACCATGGAGGAAAATCTTTTTTAGGTATGAGATGTTGCAGTACAATTGGACTTTTCTCTTTTCCCTGAGGTCTCTCAAGAGGCGTGTGGTTGTCTAGGAAAGGAGCCAAATCCATGTATCTCACTCCACAGCCTCAACCATAAAGATCATCCCACTTAAGATTGCTTAAAAATGGGATTGTTCATAAACAAGTTGCTCACAATACAAACACAACAGTTTGAAGTCCTATTGTAATTTGACATTCCAAAAACAATGGCTTTCTTCCCTGTTCTTTCTTCTCTCTCCTCCACCCCACCCATAACTCCCTCTGATTTGTGTTTAATTATAATACAGTGGTATTTTTTCCTTACCCACACAAGTGTTTATACCATACATAAAACATTCAGGTTGTTAAATAAGCAAGGAAACCTGGGAAAGCTGAGAGGGAATGCTGAACTGGGATGGCCTTTCATTGCTGAAGAAAGGAAATCATGAAACGTCATCTGGATTCTGCTGACCTCTAGATTGGTATCAGCCTGGTGTTTACTCAGCCCAGTTATTAGCAAAGGAAACCTTCATTATCTTCTGGTAATGAAGAACGGGAAGGATTTGCACAGGCTTGCTCTCATTAGGGAGAACTGTGCTTTTTATTAAGAGGACATGGGAAGATTGTGAGTTGTTTCCTGCCTGTGGCTCTTCTGCTGCTTTGTTTCAGGAGGATGTGATAGCTCCCCTTGGAGGGAGAAGGAGTCATTCACTGCTTTCTAGGCTGGACCACATCTGCTTTTTATGGCTGGCAGCTGGCACACTGTCCTAGAATTAGTGTCAACACACCTGTGCTCCAGATGTATTCCAGCTTCCCAGCTGTTACAAAGCTACTCACATGTTGCCTTTGATATCCCAAATGTCTGTGTGGGTTTACTGCATTTGAAGCAATTATTCCATTACTGATGGAAATACATATTTGATTTTCTGGTGGTTTTTAAACTTGAAGAATGGGTCTGGAATTTTTTCTTTCTGGTTTCCCAACACAGCTGCAGGTTATTCAGTGATAAACTAAACTTTTTTCCCTTTCAGTCTCACTTCTGAAGAAGGTTTCCTTGTAGAACAGGAATAGACAGCTTATCAATAGACAGGGATTGTTCATTGTGTCTTTAACTGTCTCAAATCTTGTGCTTGAATCTGAATTGCTATGGTGAAAACAACCCATAGAAAAGTAAGAAGTAAAAGGTAGAAAAATAACAAATTGGATGTTTAATTGAAGAAAACTGTAATTGCTCAGCTCTTGCCTTGTGCCCAGGCCTGTTTAAAGTGTTGCCCTTCCCTGGAAGCTTGCTTTCCAGTAAAGCAAGTCAACACAACCATCTCCTTGCCAGTCCTAACACTTACCAGTTACCTCCTTGCTGGTTTGCACTGGTAGAGATGGTATCCCTGGTGAAACTGGGTTTCTTGGTCTGTTGTTTTGGGATTTTTTTTAAATGAAGAATTAAAAAAACCCACCCAGAACAAAACTGCCTTTTGCCCAGGGGAGCTGAATCCTTCTGCTGAGAAGACAATACAAGCACAGTGTGCCTCTCACCTCTGGCTGTTGTGACTGTTGGCCTTGTTGGGCCATGAGGTCACTTGGCAAGGCACAAGAAAGTGACAAAACCTGGCTGTGGGGTTGCAGTGTGCCACGGGCAGCTCAGGGATGGATAAGAAGGAAACGTTGTTCTTGCTGGGACTGCGAGGCAAACGCTGCGACCAGCGCAGCGCTGGTGAATGGGAGTTGATGATTATATTATGTGGAGTTTGAGTAAAGCAATTCCTGCAAACAGTGCTCTACTCATTTCAGAACAAAGAGTTCTGGTGTTGCTTTGGGCTGGCTTTCAATGGAATTGTAATTGAGAAAACAAGGGTTTACAAACAATCTCTTATATCCTGGAAACAACACTCGAGCAAAACTGTCCGTGGTAATTCACAAACATGCCATTTGTAAAACTCCAGCCCTCCCACGTTTTCATAAACATTGCATTTTTTCTCATGCAGTCTTTTCTACACTGATTAGAAAGCCGAAAGAATTTTAAATAATTGATGATGTTTTTAAAATTCTTGCTAGTTAAATAAGCCCTGCATTTTACTCAAAAGCTTCCTGGTGTTACTCAGGAGATTTACAGCGCAGCTAGAGCTTGTCAAGAAACATTATCTACATCTAGATTTGGTGTAGAACATTCAGGGAACCTGTAGGTGGAGTTGCTTAACAGGACTTTATTTGCAGGTCCAAGCTTAGTACAAGCTGGCCTGGTCTTTTTCTGGAATAGATCTGATAACACATAATCCTGAAGGTGTGTTTGTGCAGTCCACAGTGGACAGTAGTTGATAGCAGAAATCTGGCTTTTAAATGGTGCATGTGAATGAGAGTGGAAGGTGTTTATGTTTATAACCACCTTTTTGTTAGATGTCTACCAGTTTGTCATCTTCAGAGGAAATAAACAGGAGATGTGTATTTATTCAACAAAAAACATTTCCAGTTCCTTTGACACTGGTGCTATGCTTGCGAATTTTTTTGTGTATAATTTGTGCTGAATTCCAGCATCCTGGTCTTGTTTATACTGCTGCTGTGCATTGAAAAATGTGAGACTTGCATTTTAGGTCAGTGGATGATTTCTGTTTATATTATTCACTCTATTTATTCCACTTTCATAAGTTGCAGTTCTAAGTTGGATGTTAACACTGCAGTTGGAAACGCTCTGCACACTCTTAATGGTGGCATTGTGTGTCCCTAGACAAGGGGAGAGGATAATGGAATGTTGAAGAAATACACTTCCAGGCAAGAGCACAGTTAAAAACTATTATGCTGTTAGCAAAATCAAATATCAAATAAGCCCGGGAGATTGATGCCACATAGAAATACCTGATGAAACGTCAGCTGGCTTTACTTCTGAATGTAAATTCCTCATGATCTGCCTGCAACGTGGTGTCATGTTTTGAGTGCTTTGGCATATTTGAAATGGGCATAAAGAAAGAGAATTTGGTCAAGATCAGAGTATGGAGGCTGCCTGAACTGCAGAACCCCCAGTACAGCTGCACGAGGTGATGATAATGCTTCATTGTTAACTTGCCTGTGGACTTCCATATTTTGTGTTTAACTGCTGATGTTTTTGACAGGGCAAGAAAGATGTTGCGCAAATTTTCAACAACATTCTCAGAAGACAAATTGGTACAAGAACTCCCACAGTTGAATACATCTGCACTCAACAGAATATCTTATTCATGCTATTAAAAGGGTATGTGCACTGTGAAGCATAAATATGCTTTTACATGAAGTAAGGGCTTTTTAAATGCACAGAGAAGCAGTGAGTTCTGACATGTTTGCTCTTCCTTTGCAATATGCTTAATTTTATTTTCGTTTTCCTTGGTTTTGGGGTCTGTAATTCCCTTAAGTAAAGGAAAATTTATGTAATAGAACCCCAGCCATCTACTTTTGCATGAAATAGAACTGAAAATTGAGAACTGTTAGTACTCTGAAAGGCTCTTACTGGGCTAGTAAGATGTTTTCCTTTCAGTATGCTATTTGAACCTTTTTAAACTATTCTCCTGTGAACTTACTCATCAACAGTTGAAGGCTGTTGTTTTTCCTTTTAACCATAATAATTTCCAGTTTGCTGGCTTGTCTTAGACTTCTTATTCATAGTGATTTATATGCTGTATTGACACAAACACACCACCACAAACCTGACCAAAAAAAGAGTGATCCATGGCATATTGTGTCAGACAACTGTTTATTCCTCTCTTCTTGCAATATCTGGAGTGCTGGATATTGGAGGGTCCTGCCATACTGAACACATGTAGAGCTACAGCTCCCAAGCATGAAAGCAGAAAATAATTGCTTGCATTTCTAGTAACATTAATTAAGAAAGTTCTGAAAATTGCAATTCCGCTTTGATATTTTGCGACAGACAAGCTCATCAAACATTAATAAACAATTTAAAAACATACAGCTGTTAATTAATCTGGCTACAGCGTCTGGGTAAGCTTGCTGTTGTTGAGGAGCAATTATTCCACTTACTGGGATAACTCAAAGGTTTATGAAAGGGCCACTCATCTCAGTGGGATATGCCTGTTGGTGGCATTACTTGCCTGTAATGTCATTTAAATGTCAGAGGGACAAAAGAAAATATTAGTTGTGGCATAATGCAGAAGAAATTATTGATTCAGTATGTCTTCAAAATAATATACAAAAGAAGGCAAAGATACCTGAGGTGCAGAGAGAGAAAACTGCTTTTTCAGCATGTTCTCATTGGTGAATGAGGTGGTTGAATGAGGGCTGCAACACATTGGTGCTCACTTCTAATCTGTGTTGTCACACTTCAGAGAGCTTTATCCTCACAGGGGTTATTGAAACTCATATTGATAAGTCATGATGTTTGAAATGGGCATTTAGCAACTTACATGTTACATCTGATATCCAACTGAGACAAATTTATGTGAATTAAATCTGTGGCATGAATTGCAAAATGTTCAGTAGATTTCAAATCTCCATGACAGGTTGAATGGGAGAGTATTGCAGGATTTAATGAAAATTATTTCAGGGTTTTTTTATAGGGTAATGTAGTTAATGCTCAGTATCCACAATGATACTTTTCTCCTGAAATTGTGGGGAGTTTGAATTACCTTCTACTGGTTTAGGAGGCAGGATTCTGGAGGTGTGAGGCAGGAAGGCACGTGAGAGGCTGTGACTGCTCCAGAAGCTGGAACCCATGATGTGCAGAGCAGCAACTGATGCTGAAAAATGGTTTAATGGAAGAGGAGATCTGAATTTATGTCCAGTATTGTTAACCCCTCATGCTCACGTGGAAGGTTTTATGTAAATTGCTATCATGTTTAAGCATGCAGCTTTCAAGGCAAATCATTTACTGCTTTTCCAGATGTCTGCAGTCCCACCAATGTGGAACAAGAATACTGATTTTGAGAGCAAAAAAAATATTTTTATTTAGTTTGTGTAAAAAAAAAAAGTACCTTTATTATTTATAATAATATAAAGGATAAAATATAGTATAATATATAAAGTATAAAATATTCTATAATAATATAAAATACGAAAGTATATATATTATTTACTTTTTTAAAAAATTATTTAGTTTGTGAAAATTCTTTGAATTTGCTACAATTGTAACTGGCAGTTATTTCAGTAGTATTTAGTAGAAATGTTTCAAAATGGAGTTTAATGCAGGAATAAGTACCTCTAATTTTTATGGGTTTGTTTACTAGATAGTACTGAACACTGTAATTAGCAATATGGTGCTGCAGTGCTAACTTGTGAAAGTTTATAAATTTAATTACATTTATTAAATGTATAAATTCCTAAAGAATCTTTGCTGGGTTTTGTGACTAGGTACGAATCTCCAGAAATTGCTCTGAACTGTGGGATAATGCTTAGGGAATGCATCCGGCACGAGCCACTAGCTAAAATCATCTTGTGGTCGGAGCAGTTCTACGACTTCTTCAGATACGTGGAGATGTCGACGTTTGACATCGCGTCCGATGCATTCGCCACCTTCAAGGTAACGCCCTCAGCCTTGCTACTGGTGCCTCTGTGTTGTCTGGATTTTTTTAAAGATTTTCTAAGCCTGTTTTACATTCTTGTAATGAACTTTCTCACACACTTTATGTAAATAATTTACTGTTTTACATTCTTTTATGGAGGAGGAGAAATTTGATAGACTGTTGGTTTGTCCAGTGTCATTGGAGAGGTGGCGCTTTCACCCTCCAATCCACTGTCACTTTTAGAAATCTGATAAATGCTAGAGTCAGAAAATAAAAAGCCTTTTTTATCTTAGAAAGAGCAGCGAGTCCACATCATGTTGTTTCGTGTCCTACGGTGACACTTCTGTGCTTCTCTGCCTTGTGCACCCGCTGCTGTGGGTGGTGTTCTTGGCAAAACAAGCCTTGGCAGAGGGGAAGAAAATAGCTGTGATGTGGATGGGTGAGCTGGACAATGTTCCTCCTTATTTCTCAGAATGCAAAGCACACCTGTACATACATACAGTACATCTGCTCCCCAAAATCTTGTTCTGGAGAGCAAGCTGTATCATGCATTACCTGAATGCAGGTGTGCTCCCAGTCTGTGTCTTCAGCTCCTCCTGTGCTCTGCCTGAGGATATCTGATGCCGTTGCTTTGTCTGGGGAAATTTTCTGTGGCCCAGTTTTTGTGTCCCTAAAATAATCAGTTATGGGGACAATAAGCATAATATTAATCAAGACTAAATGGTGGGTCTGAACCTCAGTTGTGTGTAGTTGTGTGCAGAGTATAGCCTTGATCCGTAAATAGCACTCTTCAGTGATAATTTCACAGGCTGGCTCTCTGTGAATTAAAGTAACTCATCACAGATCTTTCCTAAGTGATGCCAAGACCCTGAGCAGTGTCCAGGTAATTGCATTCAGGTCCTAAAATAGCGTGTTTAATGATATAGCAGAATTTTGGATTGAATGTCTTACGTGTGTGAGAATGTCTTTGTGCTGTTTAAATATTTTTAGTGACAGTACTGGGTTTGTGCTTTCTTACAGGATTTGCTTACAAGACACAAGTTGTTAAGTGCAGAATTTTTGGAACAACATTATGATAGGGTGAGCAGACACCTTTTCATATTTGGAGCTCTCTGGTGCTATGTATTTTATTTGAAGACATCTGTTTTATTCCTTGTTTAGGTTTGGTTTTGGGGTTTTCCACACAATATTAAATCAACTGAACTTGGGGTTCAGTCGTCCCCCCCCAAAGTCAAAACAAGTAATGTTAGAGAGTTTCATTTATCCTGACATTTTCAGTTACATGACTTAAATCTTTTTGCCTTTCAACAGATTATTTGGAACCAGTTCCACGTTTAAATCTTACTCTGGTTAAAACTCCCAGACTTCACAAGCAATTAAAAAAAAAAAAAACCCAAACCTGACAAACTTGGAATCACATTGATTTTTAAAGGTTTGTCTCCAGGCATGTTCACTAAATCACAGATACCTCCTCTGAGTGACTCAGCTTTAAACAGGAGACAAAAATTATTATTCCCTTTTTGACTACTTGCTTTAGCCCTGAAATACCTACTTAATAATGCTTTAGGCACTGTTTGGGAACCAGTTAAGAGGCTCTGGGAAATCAGATGTGCAGAGTTGATACTTAGCTCATCTCTTCATCTGCTTTGAAAGAAAGTTCTTCTTGCTGTGAAATCATATCTGAAACTTTAAGAGATTTTGATAAATGTATTTCTAAAAAAAAAGTCAAACTGTATTTAACGTTACAGCCAAGAAACTTAGACTACTCATGAATAGTAAAACTTGACAATATTACAAAAACCTAAAGAGCGTGCAAGGTAAATGTTTATTTTAGTCATGCCTGACTCGGTGATGTCCTCACATTTTGACACGCTGAATGGCAACTCCACTTGGTCACTCGGGCATTTGTAAAAAACCCCGCACAAACTGAAAAATCACTTTGCTCTGCTGAGTGCAAGACGTCAGTCTTACTCCGAATGTGGTCCTGCCGGAGCCAGCCCGGCTTCTCCTCCAGAGGGAGCCCGAGCCGTGCTTTCCAGGGTGTCCCTGGGAACTGGGAATTGGGAGCTGTCCCCTCACACTCCCTGGTTCCACCCCCTGCCACGGCACCGACAGCAGATTGCTCACAGCTCCATCCAGCCTGGCCTGGCACACCTCAGGGGTGGCTGCCTCCCTGATTTTTCACGTTTTTCTAAGCCTTCTGGTGTTTACATTCTTGTAACAAACTTTCTGACACACTTTCTGTAAACAACTTATTGTTTTGCATTCTTTTATGGAGGAGGAGAAATTTGATGGACTGTTGGTTTGTCCAGTGTCATTGGAGAGGTGGCACTGTCACCCTCCAATCCACTGTCATTCTGGAAATCTATAAATGTTGGAGTCAGAAAATAAACTTCCCTTTTTTACCTTGAGAAGGTAAAAAGCGTGTCTGCGTCAGGTTATTTCGTGTCTTATAGTGACAGATGGGGCAGCCTTAGCTGGTCTGGACAGCCTGTTTTGATAAGAAATAATGAGGAAACTGCTTCCACTGCCCTGTGATCTAAACATTAAAGTCTCTTGAAAGAGTAAATACATATTTTTTTAAAGCTTATTCAGTGTTTAACTTTGTATGTGCTTTAAAAGCCTAAGTAGTGACAACGTAGTGACTTACAGGAACCTACTGAGGTTTCAGATTCTGTTTGGTTTTGTTAGGGATTTGCCTCTTCTCCACTTTGTTGCAATAATTTGGAAGAAGATGCCTATGATGCTTGAAAAAGTCCTAACCCTTCTCTTTATTCTGTGTTTAGTTCTTCAGTGAATATGAGAAGTTACTTCATTCAGAAAATTATGTGACAAAGAGACAGTCACTTAAGGTAAGGCAATTTTATTTTCTTCTTAAATGCAGAGAGGTTCCCTTTATTTTCAAGGTGAGTTAACTTTTTTTGAAATGGCTTCTGTAACAGCCTTGAATAGTATTTATTTTCATTCTTCAGACATTTTAATTCTTGGGATCAGCTAATTTCTTTTGTGCAGTTCTTACATATTTTAGTGTCCAACACAGACCAAAGTAATTTCTCTCCCTATGAAAAAATGTCTCCTCAAATTTCTTTATTTTTGTTGATTTTTTTTCCTTCAAGAAGTCTGGTTACATTTAAATAATTTAACAAAGATACACATGATGTGCCTAAAACCATACTGATTCAAGTAGGTGAGAAATAGTGAACATAAATGTAATGCAGAGCTTGCAGCAAAGGTGATCTTTGTGAGCAAAATGCTTCTAAACCCTTTAGGTAGCAAAAGAACAATCAATATTTCATTTGATGTACTAACCTGTTTTATTGGGGTTTTGTTAGTTTTTTTGGTTTTTTTTTTAAAGGCATTCTTTCTATGCTGAATAGCTTCTGTATAAGTGGAGAAAATAATGAAGTCATGGGGGAGAAAAAATGAAAGACTTTCCAATTCATTACAAGGGGGAATAAGTGTGATTTTTCACTTTCTGAGGAAAAGGAGAAACTGTGTCGTTGAAATATGGGGAAAATGCACCTGCACATGGAAGTTTGGGCACTTAGTTCTGTTGCTGCTTTATCTCCTGACCACTGGTGCTGCATTCACAAAGCACCACACCACTTCAGGGGGTCTGAAAGCATTCATACACAAGTTCAATCTTCTGTTAGTAGTTTTTTCATTTTTCATTCTTTTCTGCCTTCAGCTTCTCGGTGAATTGTTACTGGACAGACACAACTTCACAATTATGACAAAGTACATCAGTAAACCTGAAAATCTCAAACTAATGATGAACCTTCTACGAGACAAGAGTCGTAACATTCAATTTGAGGCCTTCCATGTGTTCAAGGTATGTTACGAAAGCCCACCATGAAACAGAAGGAATCTGACCAGAAGTTGTTTAATTGAGTAAACTGCTTAGCTGAGCCTAAGTGGAGCTTACCTTAGTGTCTGCTAAGTGATTAAATAAAGGGAGCACTGATGTTTGCTTGATTATGATCCATCTTTACAAATAGATATCTTGGTTATCTTTTGAAAACCATTCAGAAATTACTTAGGGACTTCCATATGATTGTCAGAGTAACGTCTCGCAGAAACTTTTGGAATTGAATGCATGAAGATAAGGAGGAATGCATGGTTCCATACAAAATCCTGGAGTTCTGAGGTGGTTTTATCACACTGCATGATCTCTGAAGGACAGCAGTATTTCAGTCAGGTCACCTGAATTGTAATTTGAACATTATGACAGATGGCTTCTGACTGCAGCAGACAGGCAGCTAAGAGTTACAACTTGAGGTCTATAATTTTGCAGTGAAGTGTGAGATTCCCATCAGATGCTGCACATGATATGAAACCATGCATTTGCCATAGAATTTAACCATAAAATGTCTTCAGTGGTTTCTGCAGAGGCTGTTGTGGCTGGTCACCCAGACTAGATTTACTTTGGTACTGATATTTAGCTTATGCCCTGATTTTAAAAAAAAGTAATTTTATTAAAAAACTTGCAGGTTTTTTGGTGGGATACTGGAATAATTAAAACATAGTTTTAATTGATCATCATCAGTATTTTGTTAGATAATTTTTTTTAGCTTAACCTTTTGTTTCTTGCTGTTGTGCTCAATGTCTTTTATTTTCTTGCAGGTGTTTGTAGCCAATCCTAACAAGACACAGCCTATATTAGACATCCTTCTAAAGAACCAGACCAAACTTATTGAGTTCCTCAGCAAGTTTCAGAATGACAGGACCGAGGATGAACAATTTAATGATGAGAAGACCTATTTAGTTAAACAGATCAGGGATTTGAAGAGACCAGCACAGCAAGAAGCTTAAACTCCAATAAACCTTTAAAATATTAAACCCAAATTCAGCATTTGCTGTTAGATATTCAGCATCAGGCACTCTTATCGATTCATGAGGAACATTACTGCTAATCTGCTGTTCAGTGAACGGTTTTTGTTTTTCTCTTTTCATTTTTAGTCCAAGTTGAGAAACATAGCTGCTGCTTTCTTGCACAATGTGGACTTTCTTGATATTTGTGTCATTTCAGAATTCAAAGACACTGCTTGTTTTAGGAGTCCTGAAAAGAAAGATTCTAGGTTCGTGAAAGCAAACATATAGATAATAGTTTGGTCTAGGAGAGAAGGTATTCATGTAGTTAAGTAACAGGTTGCATGCTTGCAAATCTGAATAAATCTGTATGTTTGCACTTAACCTTGTTTGAGATAATGAGCACAACATGACCTGTGCATACCTGGCACCATAGTATAAGATTATATGCCTTGATTTAAAAAAAAATGTGCAGTGCTTTATTTGTAATCAAAGGGGAAATGTATCTAAGATGTGAGCTTATTGGGATAAACAGTTGTCTTGCAAATAAACTGATATTGAAACTTAGCAACTTTTAAAAGAGTGAAATCTCAAGGTTCATAAGGAAAATGTATATATGCCTTTCACTGCTTTATAGAATTTTTTTGGACATGATTTGATTTTTTTGAGACTTGACTTGTAAACTTGGAAATATGTTCTAAGGGTTTTTGTTTATTTTTCTTTAAAGGTATTTCAGACAGTAGACCTAGCAGTGACATTTTGCATTTCATTTCAACAATGCTTGCTGGTTTCTTTTGTATATAACTCCTAGGCTGCTCATTTCTTTAAAATATGATTTAATTTGTACAGCAGAGGAATGTTATTGTATTAGTCTGTAACTATTACCTAATATTGAGTTTTGCAAAATGAATGCTCGTATGTAATTGAATACTTCAGATCACATGGAAATGCTGATCTAACAATCTTAAGTACTGCGGCATTTAAAAGGAAACAAACACCCAAACCCAAACAAATTCTTTGTATTCACGTATCTAATGGGGTGCCATCAGTGAGGGTAGACTGAAACAGAGAACTGGAACCCTTTCTGCTACATTCTTACCAGATAATATTGGCCTTATTTAATTACACTAGCATTGTGCTCACCAGCTCTGCAAATGGCAAGGATTATGCTAAATTAATATTGATTCCTCTGACTTCTGGGGAGCCTGCAGTGCATCATTTCTTACAGTAAATAACTCAGTACAATAGTTGTGTGAGTGATTTCATTCCCTCCGACCTCGAGAAGCAGTTTCATAGGTGTCCTAGGATAACAAAATGATCTAATTTTTGTTGATTTTGTTCTTCATTGCTGCAAACTATCAGTATTTATAAAAACAGAAAACCCAACTGATTTTGCACCATGTTTTTGTTACTGTGACCATACAAAAGGAATCTACTAAATGTAGCTAAATGATGTTATTAAAATTGTATCTATCCATCATATAGTAACGCTGAGATCACAACCAAGCAAAAACTCATGGACTGGGGTCTGGAAGTTCCAATTCTGCATGACTGAATGATTGTGAATGCTACAGAAAATGTTTCTTGCTTCCTGTCCTCTTCCCATTTGAAATATTTCACAATCAGTGATGTTTGAACTGAATTTGAAAGCCTTCACAAGGAAAATCCCAGAGCTCCAGAAAATTGAGTGTTTTCACTCGGTTGGTTAAAACTGCTCTTAACATTAGAATTGGTCTTTTAAAGGTTCTTAACGAGTCCTTTGCAAACAGAATCATTTTGCTTACAGGAAAGAAAGTAGCTGACTCTTCCCAGAGATGCCAGGCAGAGCTGGCATGAGGTGGTGTTGTAGCTCAGTACTAACTGTCTGTTATATTTTGGTTTATCATAGCTGAGTGGAGGAAACATTATTTGTCAAGTTACTCACCATAACCTGTAAGGCTTCCTCTTCAGAAAGATGTAGACATGCTAAAGATTTCTATGTGTAAAGAAGTGAAAACATTTGGACTGGGATAGAGGTTTCTCTATATTAGGCCTTGGAACCAATGGCTATGGTGACTTTTTTAATATGTGGAAACATTTGAATGTTGGCTTTCGAAAAGAAGTTGTATTTAAATTAAAGCTCCTTCGATGTGCTGTTCATATTAAAAAACTTGTTCTGGAAGTGGTTTCTTATCTGCTTGAAGGCTTAAGGGTATTACTAAAACATATTTAAATGCAAGCTTTTTTTTTTGCCTTTTTTTTTTTTCTTTTTGCTTTTTTTTTTAATAATAAGAGATGTATACAATTGTAATTCTATTTCCGTGGTAGCATTTCATTTCTCCTGAGGAAAATGTTTCGTACCCAAAAAATCTGGCTGGCCCCATAATTTAAATTAAAATAAAATTTTGAAGAAAAATGTGTGTTCTTTACTGTATTACTGTAGAGGATCAGTTTCTTGTGGATGTGTATCAGGTCTCCCTTATTACCTCAGCTTTCTTCCTTTTAAATATGAAATAATTTTAAGTCATGAGAAACTCTGGCTTGCACAAACATTTTAAAAGAATTAAGATAAAGTGCTGTATTAAAGATGCAATCAATTTTAATTCATTGTTGGTAGCCTTCCTTGCTTTGTTGTATTATTATTGCTGATTCTATTTCTTTTTGGCTAGGGCAAAGAGGAGATGCTGTTTCCTGCGTCGTGGCTGAAGGCAGGATCTGGTAGGGTCGGTTGATAAATTTTTGGTCCTTCCCTTTTCTCTGATTTTCAGGAGCTGAGTCTGTAATTGGTCACTGGCATCTCCTCACAGCCTCTGGAGCTGCTGTCACAGGTAATGTGTTTGCTCCAGCTGATGCAGCGTGGCAAACATCAGGAGAGTGTTGTATTTTAAACAACATTCAGGAGCTTTTGGTGCAGGTTCTGCAGGTGGTTTTGTTCAGCAACATTCCTGAACAAGAAGTTGCCCTTCAGGAACATAATTACTTTGCAGACAGAAATATTTGGTCTTTGATAGCCCCCACTAGAGACCACACCTGTTTGAGCCTCTGTAGAAAATGTTGGCATTTCTCTTCCTCACAGACAGGAAGACCCCAGATTGCAGGGGAAAGGAGTAATTAGTACAGATAGACAAATGGCAAATTTTAATTGAGTGGACAAGTCGGGCACTTGACAAGATGTTTGAAACAGCCCTGGTGGGAGGAAGCACACAAAGTGCAAGGAGGTGATTCCCTGACTTGTTACAATTTGCTTTCTCCACAGAGCTGATGAGCAGGAGCTGCCCTCTGAGCTGGCACCTCCAGGACCCTGAGCAGGAGCTGTCCTTGGAGCTGGGGGATCACCCTGGGACAAAGCTGCTGTCAGTAAGTCTCCCTCTGTTCATGGCCTGCCAGCTCATTCCCTGCAGGCAACTTCATCAGCTTTCCTTCTGCTTCTTCCCCTTTTCCCCCCTTTGTTTTAGACTTGTGCTGGTTGCTGTGTTGAATTATTTCCCTGTCTGTGCTGCTTTTCTTCCCATGGCTGTTCACTGGTGCCATCTCTTTGGGTGCAGTTCCTTTGTTTTCTGTCACCTTTGTGGTTATTTCTCTGATACATCTGTATTCCTTTCTCCAAAGGTTTTGGCCTTTGTCAGGCATTTTTAAGTGCTGTTTCTTTTAGCTTTCCAGCACATTGCAATTCAAAGTGATGGTTAGTATCATAATGAGGAAAACATTACCTTGTTCTTTTACATGTTACCTCTTTAAATCAGTGTCCAGCTTAATCTGAGCACACTGAACCTGTGAAGAGTTGTTTCTGACACTTCATCTATATTTGCAAGTGTACCAGGGCAGATCCAGTTCAAATCCCATGTGACTAGAGGCAGGTCAAAACATCCCAAAAATCACAACCTTTCAGCTGGAAAAAAGCTGAAAGGAGGGAGCAGTGGTACGCATCAATATATTGCATTCTTTGAAGGAAATTGACTATTTCCTGAGAGGAGAATGATGGAGAGGGACACTTACTTGCAAGAGCATGGAGTGACAGGACAAAGGGGAATAGCTTTAAACTGAAAGAGGGCAGCTTTGGATTAGATAGTAGGAAGAAATTTTTACTGTAAGGGTGGTGAGGCTGTGGTACAGGTTGCCCAGAGAAGTTCTGGATGCCTCATCCCTGGATGGAGCCCTGAGCAACCTGGACTAATGGAAGGAGTCCCTGCCCATGTGGGGGCTGGAATGAGATATCTTCAAAGTCCCTTCCAACCCAGACCATTCTGTGCTCCTGTGTTCTGCTTCCTGTTTTGAAATATCTGTTGATGCACCACCACAAAACCCAAGTTGTTCAGCCAGCTTAGATTTCTGGTGAGTGTATTGTGTTCAGAACAAGGAATAAAGGCAAGCTCTTTAGAGGGCTCCTGTTCGAGATTCTGATTTGCACAAGTAAGGATATTTTATTTCCTTGTTCAGAAATGCCCTGCCAGAACTGACACCCTCACTTTCCATAAAGGGACCCTTAAGGCTAAAGGTTTTCCATTGCAGGAGGGTTTTCCAGCTGTGCTGTGTGGGGCTGTGTAGTTCCAGTGTACAGGATTCTGTGCACCAAAGGAGGGTGTTCCACAGCTGGAGGTGACAGTGGCCTCAGGTGTTCCTAAGCTGGCAGCACTGCAGAATTTACCAAGAGGGCATGTTTGGAATGAGGGAACATAAACAGTGTGCAGTAATACAAGATACAATTTAGATATGTTTTAGTGGGGTATGTTTAGAAAAAAACAAGATAAATGACTGCAGTTGTCTGATTCTCCTTGCTTGAAATTAAATCATCAATAGGTATTTTTCCACTTCTTCCCTAGCAAATTCCTTGCACTGAGCTGTCATGGAGGATCCCATTAAGAGTTCTTTCTTCCTCTTGTGGCAGCCTTTGGGAATGTGCCTCACATACCACCAAGGAGAAACTCAGGGTAGTAAAAATGTGAGTGTTGCTTAACAAGGTTCTACAATTCAGAGATGTTGAACTGAATTTAATATGCTTAGTGTTATTCAGAGACTTGAAGGAAGAATTAGGTTTGCATTTATTTGAGCATAAAACAAGAATAAAAGCTGTATAGGTTTCTTAGACCTGTTTTAAGCTTAAGAATGTTCTATATTGCAACATTAATAAATAAATCTTTGTAACTATAATTCAGGGCATCTAAGTAAGGCGTACAGTGTTGAACAGTTTAAACAACTGAGATATGAGCCAGGCAAGCTCTTGGCCTCAGGTCTTTAACAGCATCTTCAGATTGTGTGGAATTAAAAGAAAAAGTGACAGTTTGAGAAATCAGACTGTAATTCAGGTTTCTGGGTACCTAGACAGATTGGGAAATACAGTCTGGAGAAAGTAAAAGGTGCAAAGATTCACCTGGCTATAAAACTTCAGATTGCAGCTGCTGAATTTCCTCACCTTCCATCTCTGGAATCAGAGTGCTGGGTTGTGCCAGCTAATATCCAAATTACATGGAAGCAGCACTTAAGGATTTACAATAATACTCCTTTTCTGAAACATACTTTTCCCTAGCAGTTGTGTCTTGAATTAGGAGAACAGTCCCACAAACCCAGTGTATGGGCAGAGCGGGGTTTTC